TCGATCTTGCGGCTGCCCATAAACGGTATCCACACCAATCGTGGTGGAATTCCGGACCGTCACTTGAAACTGTGGAAAGGTCTCGTCTTGACGAAGATAGGCAAAATTGTAATCCACCGCATCTCCAAAGCTGGTCCATTTCGCAGAAGCTTCATCAAAGAGTGCTTGTTGGTCTTGCAACTGACGTCTTCTTGTTGGAGTATTACTAGTCGTGGTAGTAGTAGTAGTAGTAGAGTGTGCCAAAACGGATGGACCCACATGAACAATAAGCAATAGAAGGAAACTACTACATGCCGAATATAGTAAGGCTTCATTGTTGTGTGCTTCGGAGGACGAATCATGATGAAATAAGCAAGGCTGGCTCCAAGTGCCCGACGTGATCAACAAGAACCGTTCTCAGATTTGTTGAGATTTGTTTGGAACTTTATTAGTGTTCAATGCTGCGGTATGTATTATCCGGAGGTATTATATATGTACTCTATACGTACACGTACACGTACACGTACACGTACACGTACAGTACCGTGCCGTACGGTGCCATCATCATCTCCGCGGTATTTTCAAGTCATGGGCCGGCCGGCGACGTCTCTGCCGCAGATGTCGTGTTAAAAATATACTGTTTTGTATGTAAAATAAGATACGCAGTAAAATCATAGCGATTTCTATTTTTTAAAATATTTAATATATATTTTTAAAAAAATATATAACGAAAGGAAAGCGGAAACTAAGATGGTAGCTGCGAATACGAGATAGTACCTGGTACTAGCCACAAGGCAACAGTACCCTGAACCACACAGTGAGTTTCAAGTTAAGTTAAAAAAAGGGAGATGAAAATTTGGCAAAATGGAACTGATTCTGAGAGATTTGGACTGCGGATTGAAATTGCTCGATTCCACCAAGGACTATATTTTTGTTCCAGAGGAGGGTCTGAAGGAATCGCTAGAACAAAGAAGTACAGTATCGCTTTGCCTGTTGAGACATAGCATTTGATTTGATCCTTGCAAATTACGTTCTACTAGTGCCTCACGGGTTATGATGATGTAGGGCAATTTGCTCCTCTAAAATCATATGACTATAGCTATACAGCTGTCATGGAAGTGTGATACCTACCATTGCATACAGAGAAGAAGCGACGCAAGCCCAAGATGACCCATGATCATTGCAGTTTTCGGTGCAGATGAGTCGGGAACTGGATCTACATTTGCACCACCATCGTTGACTTCCACCAGTACGGCGGATACAATGTATTCTTCATCTGCAATCATTTCGTAGTAATCAATGTACACAGAGGTGGGATATCCGTATTTTGGATCGTAGTCTACCACAATCCGAAAGGCATTTCTATTGATTCCGTCTTGAATGATGACAAAGAGTCCATCCAAAGTTGGAGCCTCATTCAAGGAGGATCGTTGTGTAGCCTGTGCCGAAACATCACCAGTGGTAACTACATCTCCGTCCACAACTTGTACCAACTTGGCAAGCTGAGACTCATCCAGGCATTCACAGGATCGCTGATATGTGTAATTATAACTCTTGATGTTCTGTTCTGACCACAAACGTTTGCCAGCTTCCAATTCATTTTGCCATTTCGTAAGCGGAGCCAAGTAATCAATCGTCAAGGTGTATTCGTCATCGGCCGTCATGGCGCGGGGATCGAGAACCGCTTTCTTGGGATATCCATACTCTTCATCATACTCCACATCGACAGTACTAAAACCTTCGTCCATCCCAGTCTGGATGAGACCAAATATGTCTTCGATGGTCAAAGAATACCCTGTTGTGTCTTGATCGACTTCATCACCAAAACGATTCCTCATTTGAGCAACTTCTCCGTTACTGACTTGAATCGCAATGGGGTCACGGAATACACATCGGCACTCTTTTACAATTCCAAAGTGATAATTGGAGAGACCCATGGATTCCCATTTGGTCTTGGCTTCATTCAATATCATTGCCTTATCATCATCACCACCGCCTCCTCCATTTACTTCTTCCAGGGTGGCGGATACAATGTATTCTTCATCTGCCATCATTTCGTCGTAATCAATAAATACAGAGGCAGGATAGCCATATTCTGCGTCATATGTAGTTCGAATGGAAGAGACATTTCCCCTGATTACATCTTGAATAGCAGCTTCGATGATGGTAAAGAGTCCATCCAAGGTGGGAGCTTCATCCAACGAATTCCCAAAAGTTCCGTCAATGGCAACTACATCTCCGTCCACCACTTGTACCAACTTGGCACGCTGAAACTCTGGTGGGCATTCACAGAATCGTTGAAAAGTATAGTTGTAAGCCGAAAGGTTCCGTTCCGACCACAATGCTTTGGCAGTCGCCAATTCATTTTGCCATTCAACTATGGTTCCTTCAGTATCATCATTATCTGGTTTTGCTACCAGGACAACGTCATAGATTCGATAGGTTGGATTGCCATCGGCCACAAAGATGGAATTCCGCAAGGAATATTCCATTGGATATCCAAGCGTCGGATCAAAGGTGGCATCCACAGTGGCATAATAATTGGTAAGGGCATTTTCAATGTTTTGAAAAGCCTGATCGATAGTGGGAAGATTGAAGGTGGTCATGTCTATCATTTCTCCGGTATCTTCTTCCAAAATGGTCTCCACAGTGCCGTTTCGGACTTGGACAAGCTTCGGTGTACCATAGGGAGGTGGAAGGAATCCAATAATGTGAATGGTGTAATCGTAACTGTCAGTTGGTCGGGCATCCCAAACTGCCTTGCCTTGGTTGAGTTGCTCTCTCAATATGGAGAAAAAGGTAAAGGATTCCATCGTTCCTTGTAGGCTGACACTTCCAGTAATATTCCAAGAGGTTGGGTATCCATATGTCTTGTCATAGTTGACAGCGACAGTGTCTCCCGCCGTTGAAAGAGACTCGGAAATGTATCCCAACAACTGATCCATGGTAAAGACGTATCGATCTTGCGGCTGCCCATAAACGGTATCCACACCAATCGTGGTGGAATTCCGGACCGTCACTTGAAACTGTGGAAAGGTCTCGTCTTGACGAAGATAGGCAAAATTGTAATCCACCGCATCTCCATAGCTGGTCCATTTCGCAGAAGCTTCATCAAAGAGTGCTTGTTGGTCTTGCAACTGACGTCGTCTTGTTGGAGTATTACTAGTCGTGGTAATAGTAGTAGTAGTAGTAGAGTGTGCCAAAACGGATGGACCCACAACAAGAGCCAACAATAAGCAATAGAAGGAAACTACTACATGCCGAATATAGTAAGGCTTCATTGTTGTGTGCTTCGGAGGACGAATCATGATCCATGGCTCCAGATTTGTTGAGATTTGGTTGGAACTTTATTAGGCTTCAATGCTGCGGTAGATATTATCCGGAGGTATTATATGTACTCTACACGTACACGTACACGTACCGTGCCGTACGGTGCCATCATCATCTCCGCGGTATTTTCAAGTCATGGGCCGGCCGGCGACGTCTCTTCCGCAGATGTCGTGTTAAAAATATACTGTTTTGTATGTAAAATAAGATACGCAGTAAAATCATGGGGAAGGAAAGCGGAAACTAAGATGGTAGCTGCGAATACGAGATAGTACCTGGTACTAGCCACAAGGCAACAGTACCCTGAACCACACAGTGAGTTTCAAGTTAAGTTAAAAAAAGGGAGATGAAAATTTGGCAAAATGGAACTGATTCTGAGAGATTTGGACTGCGGATTGAAATTGCTCGATTCCACCAAGGACTATATTTTTGTTCCAGAGGAGGGTCTGAAGGAATCGCTAGAACAAAGAAGTACAGTATCGCTTTGCCTGTTGAGACATAGCATTTGATTTGATCCTTGCAAATTACGTTCTACTAGTGCCTCACGGGTTATGATGATGTAGGGCAATTTGCT